ATTCAGTTTAATTGTAGTCTTTAATCTTATTAATTTAATATACTGAACGTTGATACTTAAAAAATATTTTGTACTCATGGGAATTTTAACATCTTTTCAAAGATTTCTATTCAATTAATATTTCTTATATTTTTCAAACATCGTATAGTTGTAAAAAACTAAAATCCCAAAAAATAGAAAAACAAAAACGAAAGACTCGATTAAAGTCAAAACTGAAAATCTGAGTTTATATGGTTCAATTTGATCTTTAGATTTGATAAACCTGTATAATTGTTTTTTAATGAAAAAACCAAACCAAAACGACTTATATACACCCCTTAATACAAATATCGATGAATACATTAATACTACATTTTTTATAAATAAATACCTAAGTTAACATTACTCTCAAGTATTATAGAAAAAACTTGACCAAGAAAATATTGAAGTTTTGTTAGGCTTTTTTAATTTTTTATACATCCAAATACTTACACGCTTTGATTCCTACACATTCTACTGTACTTTTCATTTTTCTTATTTAACAAAAGTGTGTGTGTGTGTGCGTGTGTATATATATATATATATATATATATATATATATATATATATATATATATATATATATATTATATTTGTGTATTCGTTTTTGTTTAACAGTAGTGTATTCATTTTTCAAATAGTTGTGTTCATATGCTAAAATTGTAATACTCCCTCCGTCTTATTTTATGTGGCACTATTTTCTTTTTGGTCAGTTTAAAAAAAATGTCACATTTTCTTATAAGGTAATTATTTAAAGGTAATTCGTTTTTTACCCTTGTTGATTCCACATAATTTTAAAGATAATACATAATACATTTATGAGGACAGAGAAAAATTGAAGTGCAATTTAGTAGACATTTCAAAGTCATTATTATTTCTTAAACTCCGTGCCCGATCAAATGTTGCCACCTAAAATGGGACGGAGAGAATACTTTTTACCTTATTTGATTTATTAATACATTTAGCTTTAATAAATACTTGTAGCCTTGATATATTAATACTTTAAGTTTTACAAATAGACACACTAATTTAAATTCAAAGTATTCATATTCTAATCGTACAAGTAATACATTTTTCTTACTTAGTTATTGTAATTACAATTGTATTAGTATATAAATAGAAAAATAATAAATATATGAAAAATATAGCGAGAAAAGACATTAATACTCTTTTATATTCTAAATTTTATGAATACCTTGATAATTAGTATTTAGTGAATATACTATATTTAGGAATATAGATACAACTTATTGTATTATGTATATAAATTGGGATATGCATTCAATATGTAATTATTAGTTTGTAATTTAATAATAAAATTTTGAGTGATTTTCGGATATAATAAAAGGTTGATAGTTATGGTAACATAACATACCTTATTTAGTGCAATGTAAGTTCACAATTATCACTTTATAAATAATAATGAGGGAAAATGCACAAGTCCCCCAATCTATGTCCGAAATCTTAGAGACATATTTATACTATACTAAGGTCCTATTATGCCTTGAACTTATTTTATAAATAATTTTCTATCCCTTTTCGGCCTACGTGACACTATCTTGTGAGCCCAACGCATATTGACATTTTTTTAAGCTAGTGCAACGTAGGCCGAAAAGGGGTAGAAAATTATTTATAAAGTAAGTTCAGGAGGTAATAAGACCTTAGTATAGTTTAAGTGTGTTTTTGAGATTTCTGGCAAAGGTTAAGGGGAAGGTATTTATGCATTTTCCAAAATAATAATAATAAAAAAACAAATATGCGAAATTGTGTAGTCATTTTTAGTAAATAACATATTTATAGATATTGAACTTCAGTAACTTATAAATATAGTAATTATTATAAGTTGCTTTATAAACAATAAAATAATTTGTTTACAAGTACATATTGATATCTATGTCAAATAAATATTTAAATAATCTTTTTTTGACAAATAAATAAAATTGAGCTATTTATTGCCAATTAAATATAGAGAAATTTTTTAAATTTCAATATTTTGCCATTTAACAGTACCCATTGTCAATACTTTCAATATTTAGTAAAAATGTTAGAATTTTAATTTATTATGTACAATTTCATAGCTGATGAATTCTCTCAAATTTTGATTTTAAAGATTCCATACAATTGAAAGCATAACTATCTGTATTTAAATACTATATTGAGAGACACAACATATTCAATCGATGAAACACAACTATATGTCACAAAAATGTTTAATCATAAATCAACAATTTTATAAGATCAAAATGTTGACTATGCATAATACATTAGAAAAACTAGTTCGTACTAAAAAGTAGACAAAATAATTCATAATAAAGCAAGATTAACTAAATTAAAAATATACAACTAATTTATTTTCAATTGTTTCACTATCATTCTGAAGTATTTGAGGCATGTTATGCCTTGATGGTGTCTCACTATCACAAATATCTCCAGCATTATTCTTTTGTTAGTCATAGTTCCTTATTCTTCACATCGATTTTGATTATGCTACCTAAAAAATTACAAAATGAAAAAAATGTAACAATTAGAATGAATACAATGTTAAACCCTTAAATACGGTAAGATTCAGAATACAAAACACCAAATATGACACCATGAATACAAAATAATTGAATAAAAGTGAATGAATACGGTAAATACGATTAATATGTATATTTACTAAAACTTTGAAAACATTCAAATAGCGTTACTATTTGTTAAAAAATGTTTAAAGTTTATGTGTATATTTACTTTACTGGATACAAACAAGACTCTCACAATGTATATAACTACCGAATGATACACAAAGCATATAACATACAAACACATGCCAAAAAATAACTTGTAAAACACCCATCAAAAAATCAATAAATATGCCAAAATGAATACAAAACAATCAAATAATAAGGAATGAATACAATCTAAACTAGCATTACTAATTGATTAAAAGGAATACAAATGTATAAAGTAAATATGTATCTTTACTTGATTGGATACAACTAAAACACATACATTGTGCATAACTAGAAAATAATACACATATCATAATGAATATATCAAATTACACAATATACAAAAAAAATACAAATATACCACAACTTATACAAAATCATCAAATAAAAATTCATTAATAAAATCTGAAATATCATCTTCATGTAAAATGTATGTTTGAATTATTGAATACCTAGCAATGTAAGAAAACTGAAAAAGGGATGATTCAAAAATTTGATACATTATCAAAACTAAAAATAATTGTCCCAAAATATAAAAATAAAATAAAATTGAAAATACAAATACATACTTACAAAATTGCACAGTTTGCCTACACATTTGCAAATATATTCAATACACATACTAAATTGATTTTAGATACATAAAAAAAAATCAAACTACAGTATTGAAAAAAAATTGTTCTTTAACAACTTCAACTCAACATGCAAAATAATTAAATATCTCTTCATCAACTATTTGTTTTTCTCCATCCTTTTCAAGTACCCACGAGTAGACGAAGATTCTACATTCCCATATGAATATGAGGAAGGGTTTACACATCGATTGGGTTATATAAATATTCTGATCGTCTCTCTTCCTTCATTTAAGCAGCGGATTCTACATTATCCTCAATTTCTTAAGTTATACATAGATTAAAGGATGAAAAGTTACTAGAAATTTATAATTAAGTTGGATACTTCTAGTAAGTCTCTTAGATTCATCCATTGGATAGTGTTTTAGAGGTCTAATTGAGATTTACCCTACAAACAATAATTATGAATGATTTAAGCAAAAACAAAATCATAAAATAAATCTAAAAAGGGATAAAGATGAATACCTTAATTAATGAAATTTTTGTGAATGTGATTTCTAAAGAAATAAGAACACCAAAATTACGATAGAGTGATATGAGAAATTTGAAGTTGGATGAGAATCTGAAAAGGTAAATATGAAAGACAGAGATTTTGTTAAAAGTATGAGCCAAATTGGGTAACGTGTATGAATGGGAGATATATGGGAAAATGTTAATCAATGGGAGTTAAAGAAAATAATTTTTACTAGTATTTATAAAGTAGTGAGATTATTACTAATTAAGTTATGTTTCTGACTAGTTTGCTAATTTTTCCTATATTTTCTTGAAAACTAGTTTGAGTAAGCTTTGAACCAAGTCCAATTTTTAGTACATCAAAAAATGAAAGTCATCACAGATACAAAACTTGGGTCCAAAAGTGACCCAAGCCCAAATACAAAAAGTAACGAAGACAAAACCAACCGACAGTCTATTAGGAAACAATGGAAGCTCCATCTGCAATGGCTTCTTCTTCATCACTGAGCATAGGGCATCGATGGTTTTCTGAAAAATTCAAGCACTTCATTATTGGCAACTCCCCTGGCGAGCTCTGTACCTCGATATGAATGCTTGTAGGGCTGGACATAATTTGGTTCAAACCGAAAAACCGAAAAAACTAAATATTTTTTAATTTTGGTTTCGATTTTTCGATATGATCGGTCAATTTCAATTTTTTGTTTTAATAATTTTGTAATTCGGTTCATTTTCTGACTTTACATTATTTTTTCTCTTAATAAAAAAATGAATTTTATTTGATACATTTATAATCGGATGTACAAATCCAATCCAAAGAACCCAATCCAAATGTCAGCCCATTAAAAAGTAAAAGAAAAGGCCCACCCAATTTCCCAATAGATAAATGCTTAAATTCACCAACTCTCAACCCATTGTAAAGCTTCCTACATAACAACTTTTTGAGTTCGGTCGGTATTTGTCACGATCGATGAACACCCCCTTGCTGTAACCGACGTCTACATCCTTGAAGAGGACTTAGACTAGCCCTTAGTATAAATCATGGCATATCATAGGTAGAAAAATGCGAATAAAAAATTTATTACTTTTACATATGAAGTATACTTAGACTTCTTGCTTATCGTATAGGGAGTTTACATAGACTCCTTGTTTATGAAGTGTACATAGACTTCTCATTTAGCATAGTCAATTCATTTAATTAGTCTAATATTGTCTCACATTTAACCATCTGTTATAGAAGCATAAGAATTTGGGCATAGCCCTTACACTAGTACAATTATTCCACATATAGGCTTAGAACAAAGTCTCCAAAATATAAGTAAAGAAACAATTGTCTTAGACATATACAATACTAATCAAGCTAGAAACATGGCACCATCCTCGGACTTGAGGACTCACCAACAACTTGGAAAAATGTCTAAGTCTTCCTTGCAAAGGGCTTAAAAGCTCTTCAATGGTCGGAACCTACATTGTTGGGAAAAAGAGAAACAACATGAGTTATTACAAACCACATGTACTAAGTATGACTTCTATGTATCAAAATCATCAATGCATGAGAAAATGAACAATTTAGTCAAAATCATGCTCAGTATCAAATAACCTTAACATGCATATACAATGAAACATCGTAAGTCCACCCAACATGATATTAGCCCATATATAAGCAACCCAAGCAATACTTGTGTAATGTCAAGAATAGAACCCCATAACCCTATCCAAAGCTAAGTATCACATTAAGTCACCTACTTCATGCATACAACATAACCTCATATTTCATCATGACATGCTTTATCCATAAGAACATATATAACGTGACATACATAACATGTAATCAGCCTAATCATAAAAGAACACTACTAGAACCATCCCTTAGTATCCTACATGTAAATGTGTAAGAGAAGTCTCATGCCCTCCCTCACACAATATAGAAACCTGTAAGAAAAGCCCTACTAAGAGTTCAGATACTTAACTTCTTCATTTATTTTTACATTAGGAAAAAAAGTGCGGTAACCGACATTAGACCATGTGAGCTACATGGAATCCAGTGTTCTACTCTCACACCGAAAAGAGAGGGTTAACACTTTCCTAAGGTTTAACCTTTCGTACATAACTAATGAGGTGGATCCATAAAGCTAGATTCCTATCTCGGCACATAGTTAAGGGTCAAGGAGATTGTTACTAGATACCTTGAGTTGCTAGAAGTAGAGGTTTCCATCTCATGAGACAACACATATCTTGAAAATCTCGACTTGCTAAATGTGAGGAAACTCATGTGGGGAGCCGGAAACGTGAGATCCCCATCTTATTTACATTCCCTTTTGGTTCTAATCATTTATTCCCTTTAGTAACCATCTTTACTCATCATACAAGTTTACATTAATCTCTTCTAGACTCTTAAGTAAACATCTCATCATAACAGCTCATAGGTAACCATAAGTGAGAACTACCATTTCACTTTAGAAACCTCATACAAGTGAGTAAACCTTTCACTAACACTTTATCATAATCATGAGAACTACTTTCAATCATTATATCATAACATGCATACATACTTCATAATCAATTCAAGTGTTTAGGGTTAAGGATGAGGAATGCTTATCACCAACATCACAACCACACATTAGACATAGGAGCATTACTATCTAAGTAACTCATCTATCATAGTTGAATTCAAGAAAGAACCAACCAACAAACTTTCTCGCCCTTTCATGACCTTCATACTTCCATTACCAAATAATACATAACCAATACATAAACAAGGTAAATTCAAGAAGTAATACATAACAATTATGATTCTACATAATCATATACTCATCATCTTCCACAATTTCCATAGAATATAAAGATATAATGAGTTTAGGGAAGAAAAAGGTTCAAGGGAAAATCGCATGTGATTATCAACAATCAGCCATAATTACATAGTTAATAAACAATAAAAGATCATAATTCATTATAATTGAATAACAATTTCATTTTGAAAAGAGAAGTCATGTCTAGATTGAAACCCTAGTCTTGGGAAAGTTTGAAAATCTTCTTGAAAGTACACCTCTTGGGGAAAAAATTTCAAGAGTGAAAGAAATTATTCCTCAAGGATAATTTCCCACAAATTTGAGTTGGATTCCTTGGTGAAGTCGTTCTCTTCTTGAAGCTCTAGTGTCACATCTGAGTTTATCCCCTAGACGTAATCGACGTTGTCATCCTCTCTAAGGACTAAGACTAGCCCCTTAGTCTCATATAATTACATTCATAGGTTGAAAATGCGGAAAAACTTAAAACTTTTCATTACATCTACTTGGAGATTTACATAGACCTCTACATACACATAATATATATAGTCATATCGAGTACACATAGACCCTTCATATAGGAAGGTTACAAAGCCTTCTACTTTTATTTCACATACATATATATAATAAAGAAAGATAATCTCAAAGATTGCCTCATCTTATACCATCTAAACGATCATCATAATATGGGCATAGCCCTAGATCAAATGTAAAGAAGCCAGAAATAGGCTTATACAAGTCGTACTCAATGAAAGTGGAATGAACATAAAAGTCTTAAAAAAACAAAGGAACTTCGTAGGCTAGATATTGGCATTGACCTTGGAAAGTGAGGACCTACCCACTTGGATGATAGAGAATATCCAAGCCTTCTTCAAGTCATCCCGAATGAGCCTTCAACGACCAGAACATAAAATGTTTGGGAAAAGGGAAGAAAATGGGGTTAGTACTCCACACGTACTAAGTATGAGACCTTGTGGAAATATAAAAGCAAAACATGCTAAAAAGGGACATTTAGTCAAAACATGCCCTTTTACCCCTTTTAAAAGTCTAATGCAAAATCAAGCAATTCATACCAACGAACCAAACATTCTTATTAACTCAAAAAGTAATATGCATCCCAACATACTTGAAACCATGATTTACTACAACCGTATCATCAAGGAATAACATCACAAGTATGAATAAGAGTCAATTATATCATAATAAGATAGACAACAACTCATGAATCCTTATTAAGCCAACAAGTGCAATGACCAAGCAAAGCCACATAACCTTAATCAATCAAGTAGCCTAAAAAAGAAACCACGACCAATGTTCAACTCCACATAATATAACATTTAGATATACATTTCATCTTAATTTAACAATACAACTCAACACATACTCACAAGTGAACTAATCAACATGGAGTATCAATAATGTGCCAAGTTCATCATATACAAAGTCATATGCGGCCACTCAAACTTGTACCGATTATTCATTTAGACACCTCAACTAGACGTACAACCTATTGAACACTTCAACCATTCTGAATTTGAACCATTTGAACATTTTTTTGAGAATAAACAAAAAATAGAGAATGTGTGAAATACAATCGCGCTGACATGTCAATTTGACCAATCAAATAATGACATGCGTTATTTTTTTAATCCAAAAAATTATTTAAACATTATATTATAAAGTAAAAAAATAAAAATTATTTTAAAATAAAAAAAATGAAAACCTAAACACCTCCCTGCCTTCAACTGGAACAAAACATACATTTCCTCTAACTCCATTAATGGCGACCCCCCCCCCCTCCCTGTACAGTTCCATCTTTAACCCAAATAATTTTTTTTTCATCAGCTTTT